TTTTTGGTGACTGATGTTTCAGTGCAAGTAGTTTCACAGAGTGTCTCATAGCCATGTTAAAGGAGTACTATATAGTCAGAATACAAAGACCTTTCAAGTTACACCTGACCTTTGGAAATTCCTCCAGATTAATTCTGCTCCATCAGCTGGAGGCCAGTTCATCAAAATTCCCTGTGATACAGAACTGAAACTGTACCTGGACAAAAATACATACATACATGTTGTAAATATTTGGCTGAAGAAACTGAGATTTGGTTTTGTTTGTGGTTTTTAGTTTTTAAGGTGACCGAGAAATCTTTCTGAGAACTCATTTAAGATGGTGTAATAACTGACTCCATCAGCTGTTGTCTATTAAAACTGTAAAATACTGTAATTGAAATATTATTCTATTTTATAAGAGCTTGTAAATATACATAATGCATACAAACATCCATAATGTACATTTGAAGTCTAAATGTGTGTCTCTTTAACCATGCTGGCACTAACGATTGGAATTTCTTTGCATATTGTGTGGCTGATGGAGAAGAGACACTGAAATCAAGCTGTTAAATACACCATCTCATTTTTTCTTTTATTTCACTAGAGTATGTTCTCTGTATTTTTAAAAGCGCATTGAAAAGCCCAAGAGATGAATTCTGCTCTGAAATTGCTGTTTGCTGATATAGAAATAGCTGTAAAAATACAAGCAGGGAAAAATACAGTATAGCAATATATTTTCATTTATTTTGGAGGAAAGTAGTTTTAAAGAAGAATTATAGTCTGTCTTCTGAATGATAAAGCAGTATAACTAGCATTAAACACAGCTGAAATTTTGTAATGACCAAACCTCAGCTCATCCAAATCCCCAATAGCATTAACTCCCCAGAATTGGGCTGTAAATTTGATTAGCTTTACAACAGATATGAGACACAAATGTTCTTCCTTATACAGTCATATTAAGTGGCTGCAAAAGAAGATCACAAGTCATTACAGAGCAGCATATCCAACATTTAAGTGAGGCAGGAACTCCAGCTCACCCAGCTTTCTACACTAAGTGCAGCGCAGGGTCGTTCTTTGTTATTCTAGCTTCCCAAATCTCTGGCACCCTGAGGGCTGGTGTGTCTCTGGCCACAGGACAGGGTATCACACCAAGGACACAGCAGCTCTCAAGCCAGGCATGGTGCATCTGGTGACCTGAGAGATCCCAGTGTATGAGCATCCTGCCATGCTAGCTGTTGCCTATAGTTCGATTGAGTTCATTTCTGTAAGGGCCCAGGCTTGTGAGAATGGCGTTGCCAGAGATATTGTGTTTGTTGGTATTCTCTGTGACAAAGTTTTGTCTTAATTTCTGTATATTTGAAAGTAGTCTGTGCTGTTACCGTTACTAATCTATTGTGGCTTCATTTTTGTTAATTTCATTAGGTCATTCTGATAATGTATTTCTGGTGTAGCTTTACATTCTGAACTCTGTTTTTCATTGATGTTTGGACAAAGCTCCACTTGGAGTGGACTTCTGAAATGGCCCCTGGTTCACTGATGAATTGCACTACTTCCAGGAGAGAGGGGAAAAAAAAAAAAACCTAGAGCGGTTTACTAATTACAGAAACAAATTCCTAACATTGAGGAAAAAAAAAACAGATATATACAAATGGTAAACAAGAAACAGTTTTACAGTAATGAGAAACATGGGGAAAGCAGTTCTAAGAATCCTGAGTATTCCTTTTTCAATTATTTATGCAGTGGTTGTTTTATAAATATGTTTTGTTGTACTGATGGGTATTTTTACAATATTCCTCATTCTCTGCAGCCCAGCTCAGAACTGGCCTGTACTCAACCATTTGCTACTCTGAGGGGACAGTTCTTGAGTTTCTCTTTTCAAGTATTTTTGAACATTATGCTCACAGCCCATGCACATTGAGGATGAGGTATTTGAAATTATTTTAATTCAGTTTGTCTGATAATCTCAATTTTATGGCCTGTCCCCATGAGCTCTGTAAAGACGCCAGCTCATGACTCATTGAGTGTTACCAGAAGTGTCTGTCTCCCTGGGCCTGCCATACAGATGCTGCCTCCAGCAGGACAATGTGGCTTGAGCCTGAAAGTGCACAGCTTCATGCAGAAGTAGGAAAGGACCATTTGCATATCTGGAATTCATGTGCCCTCTGTATGTCCGCCAATGCAAATGCAGCATGCTGCATGGTCAGTGTGACACTAACAAGGTGACTGATCTGAAGTGAAAAGTTTCCTCCTCACTAGTTGTCCCAACTTCCCAAACAAAGCAGTTATGCCAGTTTTGTGGCTTTACAGGAGCTGCTAAAATAAACTAGCTCTTCTAACATCTGTTGAAGAGTTCTTATTGAAGTCCTTGTAAATAACTACATGTAATGACAGCACAACTCAGCACTCCCTGACAGAGATGTAACATAGGATCTTCCCTGGCGAGAGCTATCCTGATCTTTCAGCTTGGTATCTCAAACTAGCAATTACTAGGTTACTGTTCATCTACCTCAAAAGAAATTGGCCACCCTTCTGGTGTCTGGGAGGAGGTGAGGGAAGGACCCTACACCTTTCAAAACCTTCCAGATATGTTACTGAAATATATTCTTATGCCCAAAAAGAAATATAGATAGAAACCCACATAAGTAATCTAAGGCTGGGGATGATTATGTAATACTCAGTACCCTTTCAGTTATCAGGGAAATTGATTTTTGAGCTCTCATCTAAAAGACACTTCCATGTAAACATTCATTCTGCATGTAAAAACATTTTCAGATTTGAACTGAGTAAATCTATATTACACTATGCTGCTTTTCAATGCACTAACATCAAGTTTGGAGAAGATCTTAGCTGCAGCCATTTAAATATGCAGTAAATGGAAGAAATTTTTTTACTCAAGGAACTGTGAGGTGCTAGCACAGGCTGTGCAGAGAAGCTGTGTATGCCTCATCTCTGGAGGCTTTTAAGGCCAGGCTGGATGGAATTCTGAGGTGGTGAGTGGCAATTCTGCCCGTGGTAGGGGGCTGGAACTAGACGATCTTTGAAGTCTCTTCTAACCAAGCCATTCTATGATTTTAAACCTCACTAAGCACTTACCATGATCCAGATGACAATATCATGATATTCTTCCGAGCAGTCACCAGCAGCTGCCTCAGAGGTCAAAGCCCACCTTTCCTAACAGCGTTAAAACCAACACGTTCACCAAATTTTGCTCAATGATTCCCTTTGAGCTCCACCGTTACTCTTTCTTTCTCCATAGTTGCATGGAAGTGTTTCTTGGACCAATGCTGCCAGATTCAGCCTTGAGCAACCGTAACTGGTTCCCTCAGACTACTCCCTGAATTCTTGCAAAGAGACATTTGGCGCTTCCCCATTACCCAAGTTGCTCGTTTACCCTACAGTTTGTCTCAAAACTCGTTACAACCACGAACAACTTTGCACTCCTTAAACAATAGGAGACTGTCAGAATCCTATTTGTTGTGAACAAAATCCTTCCGGTAATCCCATGTGATTCTCCTCCTTGGCTGTGGAGCCAAAGGTGATATACTTTCTATTCTGAAAATTTTTAAATGGGTCTTAGCTCAGCTGTACCTCTTTGACACTCATGCATGTAAAAATAGCAAAGTCTGGGCCTCCGTGACCTCCTCTGGATATATTAAGATATGGAAGTTAAATGTATGCATTAAGTGCTTGCAGGACTGAGACTATGGGGTCTTAATATGCCACAGCTGCAGTGGTAACTTGCCTTACTGATTCAGGAGATGCAAACTTAGTATTCAAATCATGGGCTCTCCCTGAAAGTGTACATTCAAAGCAAAGTATTTTTTCATTAGATGTTATCTGCTAATATTCAGTTGTGTTGGCAGCAAGTCATTCAATTGATTTGGCTAAAGCAATGTACTTATCCTATCATAAACTCTTATCATCAACAAACAAACAAAAACCTGGGATTAACTTTGCTGACAGCTTGACATCTCTCCCTGGGAATCCTGGTGGTTAATAATGCTGTGCAAACACAGCACTCGGGTTACAACTGTACTGGGGAAGCTGACGTTCATTTTGTTCAATGGCACCATCTTCAGTCAACTGCAGAGCTGATTATTAACTGGCCCCAATAAGAAGTCATGTGCGTCTAGCCTAAGTCAGGAAAAAAACGTACGTAAGTGCCACAGAACTGACATGGTGTGGTGATACAGGAAATTTACTGTTTTGCAAGGACTACCAAGAGTTTGGGTCCTCCAAAGAGGAAAATCTCTGTACTGAAAGGAGAAAAACGTTGATTACTCTGAGAAAATCTTTTCTTGGTTTGTTTTTCTTAGAGGGCTAGCTGGTTTTATTTAATTAACTAAAAAGTAATTGTAGATCCAGATTAATGACAACAGACTTTTTCTGGGTTGTATTTTTTTATTTTTTTATTTTTTTTTTTGGAAATACAGAAGTAGCTATAGAAGACAGAATCATGAAGCATTCTGGACACATGAATGCTCAACAAAATCTCACAAATTGAATGCCAGTATTCAAATAGTATTTGTTGCCCTCCTTTCTGACCTTTCTTTATTCTTTAAAATACAATTGAAAAAAAAAAAAAAAAACCCGAAAACAAACCTGTTAATAGAATTGGAGCCCATCCTCCCTTTAGGTAGCAATATAGGTATTTGTGGAAGTCTAGTACCATAAATAAATGGCTTCTAGTGTTTTTATTTTTGACATCTGAAATTCTTGCTATTTTTCACTCTTTGCTCAAACTGTAATGATTGGAACATTTGTTCATGAGGCATAATTTTAGAAAATGATTCAAGTCATATGTTTACCAGAAACTTGCAACTAATTGCCCCGCTAGCTCCTCCCCGTGCTTTTGCTTTTTTCTTCCTGTATGCATGCATGTTTTCAAAATGAGAATAAAATATGTAGACATCTTGTTCTTACAGTTAAAGCTAAGAGGACAGAATAAATCTGTATCTGAGGACAGTCTTTTCTTCCTTCCAAGGCTGACAAGCATTTCACGGTTTGTGTTTCCTTTTCAGCTGACCCCCTGGTTGGAAGCATTGCCACTCAGTATATGACTAACAGAGCAGAGCATGACAGAATGGCCAGACAGTGGACCAAGCGATACGCCACATAGGAACCTCCTCTAGGATTTGCTGGACCTGTGCAAGCACATTCACTAAGTGCTTCAATAGCCCTTCCCTTCATTCTTATTTTTTAAATTTTGAACCATTTCTTTTTTGTTTTGTTTTTATTTTTATTTGTTTGGGGGTTTTTTTGTTCTGTTAACTTGAAAGCTGTTTCCCTCAAATGTAGACAGGGAATTTTGGTTATCAGTGCAAAGAATGTTGGATCTGTAATAGTATAGAGCTTTGTCACGAAGCTTTGTATTAATGTGTGTTTTTTTTTTTCTTTCATGTGTTTTTTGGGAAAACAAACAAATTCAGAATTATATCTCGTTTCTACTTAAATGTAGTGTTTAGGGTTATTTTTTTGTACTGAAGTCTTTAATGGTGGGTGCATGCTACTGGGAACAAGTTTTGTATAAAAGCTTAAAATCAAGAATCACTGTGCATTACTAAGACTGTGTTTATCACTAGCCTTCTGTTTCCCACACAAAAGGCTACTGCATTGAACAAATTAATATGTATTTTGATTTACTTAAAGGAAAAGTGCTTGTAAATTTCTTAGGGACCTGCCACTTTTGACTGTGGATCAGTTGATGTACACTTGTATTATTAAAGCACTCAATAAAACACTGTGGCTGATAAATGCACTTTTTGCAAGACGGTGCTTTCGTGTCTGTGCACTGTAGACTGCACAGTCCTCACACAATATGACTGCAGGTTAAGCAATTATTTTTAGACCTAAACTATTCATTTGTTCTTAACAGTATCTTTCTTAACTTAGAATTCTTTGTTGCGCGTATCTTTTATATACAAACATCTTCTAAATTTTAAGGCCATTCTTTCACGTGCCGGCGCTCAGCTCAGCTATTCTGAAGCCTCTTGCTGAATCTTTTGTACTATAGCTTCACTGTATCCATCTTGTTACTTTTTTAATGGTTGACTATAAAAATAGCCTTGCAATGAAAGCAGAATATTGATGATGATTTTATACAGCAGGCTTCGTTTTGCCTTTCTCCTAGCTCTTTAATTGTAAAAGCAACTGTTACTTGAAAAATAAATGAAGGTTTTCGATGGGAAAATTGAGCCCATTGCACCAATCATTCCCAGCACGTTCAAGGCAAGGGTATTTCTATTCAGATTTGACCTTCAGGCTAATTTTAGATATGCAGCCATAGAAGGAAAACTTCTCCTTGGCTAAGGAAATGCGTGGGTGTTGTGATTTAGAAAATATATACTGTGATGCTGATATCTAAATGTTCTTTGTGTTGCAATGGCATCCTGGAAAATCCCTGTCTCATATAATTAAATGTTACAGATGCCACATATAATCCTTGGCTGCCCTCTCTTTCTCTCTTTTCCTCTTATGTTTAAAGAAGATTTTATCTTAAGGAAGATACATTATAATAGGAACAACATAAAGATACAGGGAGACCCAGTCCCATTACATGCTAACCCAGATCCAGCTTTCCTGGAAATGAAAGAAGTCAAGGTGACACCGTGGGTCCCCTGTGGCAACCACTCTGAGGCACGACATGTCCAGGCTGTTTTGATTTTCTCTCAGCCATTTGCTCATAGCTGAAGAGTCGTACAGTTTGAATCTACAGGTGAGTTGTCTTCTATATGAAGAGAAGCTGAACAGTGATTTTGACATAGGTAGTATGTGATAACTACTGCCTCAAGAACCATGAGGATCTTGACAAAATAATCAATCTAATTTGGTCAAAACAAATGGGGAATCTTCTGGTTTCTGCAGAAGCCAACTGCCTACAGACCCGTGCAAGATTTTGAGGCCAAGAGATCCCAGATACAGATCTGAAAGAATAAAAGTTAAAGAAAAAAATATCAGAAGACAGACTTCTCTGACCTAGAACACCTTTTCGGAACCACTACTGTATGTGCTTCTCCTGGAAGATGCTTCCACCATCCAATTTACCAGAAAGTATCTCTACATTCTGCCTTAAAAATACAACAAAGGAGCAAAAGGATTAGAAGGACAACTGCATCTTTCCCAGGAAAGTAACAACATTACTTGTGCTGTTATCGTATTTGCTAAAGAGATTCACACCATGAAAAACCTTTATCCCCTGAGACAGCAACTAATGACCAATTTCAGATTTCTTATGAGTTACTGTAAGCGTCTGCTGCTCTGCAATCTGTATTTACACTCAGCTGAACAGAACACAGTAATTTCCTAGGTACATTTGAAAAAGAAATGTTCCTACTAACATCTATTGTTTTGCCAAAATATAAAGAAGACATAAACAGAAGAGCCTATTCCCCCTTTAATGCTGCTGTAACTGAAGAACAGCTGAGGTACCTCGGTAGAGGAACCACTGAATGCTTCACAGAAGTCTGCTCCAGCTCACCTTCCTCTCTTATCAAAAGCTGTGCAGTTCAGGCTTTCAGGTAAGTTGCCGTTGTGTGAAGCTGAATGCTGGCTTTGTCATAGACGATATAAAACTACTTCCTTAAGAACAGTGGGGAATCTCAAAGAAATAATCAGAAGAGATCAACCCACATTCATTAAAGCAGATGCAGAGTCTTCTGGCATCTTCAGGAGCCAAATGTTTGTAAGTCTGGTCATAAAACATTCTCCTCTATTTGCAAATCTACTCTGTTTGCCTCCCAAGTAGTTCTTTTTCTTCATCTGCTGAACCTGGGAAATGAAAAGCATTATTTAAATCTTGCTGTTCTTGCTGAGGAGAAATGAGCCATCCAGAGCAGATTTCAGTCTGCCACCAGAGCCTCGCTGAAAAAATAATATATTGGTATAGTCTCCTTTTCTTCTTTTTTCCTCTACAAAATGCTGCACATTATTCCATCCAGCTTTTGTTTTTCAGGTTCTCTACAAATTTATCTCATTCTTGCTTCATCTTTTATGCCATATCATGTCCTTTCTAATTTTTTTAAATGAAGTCCACACACTGTGCTCCCGCAGCTGGGTATGAAGATCATTCAGGTGACACATAGCATAACATGTTCAACAGCATAGAGTTGGCTAAAGCTGGCCTTTAAGGACATCTTGCAGCTTTTATAACTTCAGCTGCAATAACCAGTAACCACGCATTGACTTTCCAGTTAGTGCTGATAAATATCGCTGTAGCACGTCCTTGATTTTAGCTCTGATGAAGCAGAATTCAGGGACCTCTCCAAACCGTGTTCTCCCCTTCTCTAATCACTGAGGTGGTTTTCACATCCCAGGTCCAACTGACCGGATGAGTTCCATCTCCAGAACATAACACAACATAGTACCCCAAAACATCCTGTATTTCCAGAGACAGCATTTGCAGACTGCTCCAGGAGTGAATTTTAGCAGCTCATAACATTTTTAATTACATGCATTGTGGGTGATTGCAGCCAAATGGTTACAAGCCATTAAAAACAGCTGCTGTGCTATGCATAAAGCAGGAATAATTCCTGCTCAAAAATTTTGCTGCAGGTTTCCAGCTGTGAGCTGCAGGTAGGCTCCTAGTGGTGCTCCTCTGAAAGCAGAGGGTGCTGCTGGCCCAGCACACCCTGGGTGGGGTATGGGCTCTCAGTTGTTATTTCAGCTCGCTGTTGCAGCACGCACCAGGCTCATGGCCATTTTATCTCTGTCATTAATCCCTCTGACTCGCTTCTCTTTCTCAAACGCCCTCCCCTCTCTGGCTGCTTTCTTCTGCTTGATCGATTCATTACTCTCAGCTGAAAAATTACCTTAAACACTGATCCCAGTTCAAACAGCTCTTCCTGAAGCTGCCCAGGAATTCAGATTTCCTTCTACTCTAATGACTATGCCCAGAAAGTGCCCTAGGCCCCTCTGCTTTCCTCTCCCTGAGACAGTGCCTCCTGCAGCAGTAAAAGCAGACATAGTTCTCTCTGAGATGAGGATGCTGTGGGGGGCTCTGACCATGTTGCAGTTCCCAGGTACTCCAGCTTCAGCTTGTCCTGGGGCCCTTTTTCTCCTTCTCAGTTCTCAGAAATCTCTCTTCTCCTTTCCTTACAGCCAGACACCTTGCCCCAAGCTCAGGGCATTTTCCATGTTTTGTGTTGGGCATGTTAAAACAAGGACTTGGAATAACATTTCTGGCAACTCCCACGTCCGACTGTCCAGCCTTGGCCACTGTGGTTCCCACAGAGCCACCTCTACCTGCTGGGTTTCTGTTCTCAGTTGCTCTCTGTCCCAGACCGCTCTTCTTTTCCTCGCCTCTACAACACCAGCACCGTATCTTGAAGCACTCTTCTTTCCTCTGAGTGACAGCTCTGTTTGTGCTCCAGTGCTAACAAAACCGTGTCACATAACTGGGCCTCCCAGAGCTGCAGATTTTGGGGTCTTACAAGCAAGATAAAGCTCTGCATGAACTAAGTGCTTCCTCATTGTGCCACGCCTGGCGTTGGCTGTAAACTAAATCACTTCTCCCACATGTCATTAGCAGTAATGAAATCCGTGCTGCCCTGCTTCCTTAGCATGACATCCATATGCAAATACATTTCCTCAGCTCAAAAGCTCTGCAGTCCCAGTAGCCTCCAGAAGCCTCTCCTGAGTCACAACCAGAATATATCTGGGGACTACCAGTTGCCAGGAAGTTTTATGACACCCTTAAATTCATTGTTCTGCACCCTTATTCTGTCATGAACTTTAACGAGGAGCTGCAGCACTCTAGGATAATGAAAAGTGCAGAGCAAAGCATCCTTTTCATGTGGACTTTGAATGTGAAAGAAAGTGGTCATGGGCTAATGCAAGACTGAGATAAAGACAAGGCTCCTAAACCACCCTAATCCCTTGCTAGTCCTAAACTGGGAAAATTCCTCTTCACCTAAGAATTAAGTCAAAAGTGTACTTTTTTCCTTAGGTTTTGCAGCGCCCAATCCAAAATTCCACTGTCACAGTTGTCCCAGTAGTGGGTGCACCATTTCTGGAGAGGTTCTGTATGGACCTTCCAGTGGTCAGAGCTTACCTACAGCCCTATCCTCTCCTCCTCTGTCCCTTGGGAAACAAGGGCTGGAAGCATGCACCTCGAGTCACTCCTTGTTGTCACTGCTCAGCAAATACACTCACTCACAACAGGCATTTGTTGCTGCAGAATCAGTGCTAGGGTCCCCTTTTGTGTTGCTGGTGACCTTGCGGTCAGGAAAAACAAAGGGTCACACTTCAGCTTCTGTGAAATGCCTCTTTTCTTTGCATTTGACTCATGCCCTTTGTAAGCCCCTGAATGCAGTCTCTTAGCATGAATGGAGCTTCTGCCACACAGACTTCAATACAGGCCCTCTCCTTTCTCCACTTGGCATAGACAGGGCAAAGAAAGCACCTTGGGCTGATGTACTTTGGAAGCAGCCTGCCTGTAGGGAAGGGTTGCCCACCTTCACTGCTACATTTACATTTCTCGTAGATCTCCTGGTTGCAAGAGCCTTTCTCTTGCAATTAATGCTCAGCACCAGGAACCTGCATAAACATCTCTTCATTCCTCCTTTGGAGCACATGCTTGGCTTCTACTTCACCCCTATTCCTTCTCTGTTGTTCCCCATCTCCTAAATCTGCTCTTCCCTTGAGCTTCAGCAACCAACCTCTTCCTGAGCCCACCAAACAACAACCACCGACGCCTCGCAGCCCCTCATCGTCCCACTGCAGTGTGCCAGCACCTCATGGAGAAGGGAGCTATTTCCAGCA